AATTACTTATCAATATCCAATTACTCCGAATGGACTTGGCCAATTGAAGGGCCATATGCGGGATTTATATGCTCATGTCCATTACCTGGTTTTGGAAAGCAAAATTATATTTCACCTACTCAAATCTACAAGCTACTCAAATCAGATATCGAACAGCCACAACCTGAATATTCTGATCATACCATATCTCAAAAAACCTGGACAATGCCTGTATGCCGTTTGTCTGGTAATCAAAATAGATTTATATATTTATATTAAAATTCAACCTAAATAAATTTGAAATTAAAAAAAAATAAAAAATAAAATATATCAATCAATAGATAAAAATAAATATATATAATACTTTATTTAACAAATAGCATCTAATTCTGACTCATGGGATCTTAGATGATAGACTACAGCTAAATTGTATGAAGAGTTGGAAATTCTTGATGTTCCTGTTGATAAAAATACGTCCTGAAGTGAATTGATAAAAATTTTGAAAACAAATCTGTGTTTAGAAACTTTAGATAATTTAAGAAATGATAATATTAGAAATGTAGAAAATGTAATAACTAAAAGTACCGATTTGATGGATATTGATAAGTAATTAACCTAATTTTTTTTTTTTTTTTTTTTTTTTTTTATGGTTTCAAAAATTTCTTTATTTAATTATTAGATCACCAGATATTACCTTATTTTTGTTACCTCTTGGCTGGGCATTAAAGTATAACCAAAAATATGGAAAAAAAGGAGGCAAAAGATTATCAAAAGATGTAGTAGAAGCTTTAAAAAGGTTTTTTATATTAGGCCAAGCAAACTCAAGTGATCGTTATACCGCTAGTGATATGCATAATAGCTTATTAGAACTTGTTGAAAGTGGAGTGATTAATGAAGAGGATGTTCCTACACAAAATACTATAGAGAATTGGATTAATCGTTATTCATAGGAGTCAAAAAAAGAGGCAGCAGAACAAGCATTACTTACACACAAGCAGTAAGTAAAGAATAAAAAGTAAAATCTAATTAGAACTTATATTAAGTCTCATTGTCTAAAAGAAAAATAATCCAAGCAAAAAAAAAAAAAAAATTAAGGTAATAGAATAATAGGAAATTACTAATGTTTATTGAATAATATCCATATTATATAGTGCATTGATTGAATAAAAATAAATTCATATGCTTTTATCTTTGTTTAAAAAAAACTCATGCATATAATATAAATAATTGTTATGAATAACACTCTTGTTCTAGATATTTTTCAATCCATCGTCAACTTGACACTGAATGCAGTCTACAACTAAGAATACATATATAAGTCAAACATATAATACTATTCTAACCATTCTTTTTTTTTTTTTATACCCAACGATACATACCATTAGTTGAATAAAATTCTTTATACTTTATTTTAAATAATGAATTCCTATATGGGGTATTCTAAGGATACTGCTGAAACTGCTGGTATGCCAGCTAGGAATAAAAAAAGCCTGAGTACAAAAGACTAACTTATATGAAAGTGACAATGTCAATATATAATTTGCGTATATAAGCTATAAAGCACTGAATAGCGAAAATAATTGAATTACAATTCCTCAATATTACCAAATTATTCTTAGTATCCGTTAGTAATATTGCTTCAACACGTACTCTTCTATTTGACAAATATGGTAATTCGATTTCATTATTGTCAAAATTCGCATTATAAGAATATACACATCTATTTAAATGAAATAACTGCAACTTCTTAGCATGAACTTGAATGCACCATATTTCATAAAGTCAATAAGAACATATAATTATATGTACTCAACTATTATAGAAAGCATCATATCAGTTAGAAGCAATTGAGGAAAGCTGCGAAAGCAAAGATATTGATGAAATATGGGACATTATATCTAGCAGTATTATTA